TTAAGATTCTGATGTTTGACACCTTCGGAGGAGTGGGCAACCCTATGGCTCATTTGAGAGCCTAATGTGACCAGCTTGTGGGAGTTGGAAGGGGCAAAGCTTTATTGATGTGTCTCTTCAGTCGGAGTCTCTGTGGAGAAGCTCTCGAATGGTTTACCTCGCATGAAACCAGACAATGGCCCAGCTGGAATGCCTTGGCCAAACATTTAATCGATCGATTTTTCTACAACGTAAAAGTTGTTCTCGATCCATACTCTTTGAAGAAGATGAAGAAAAAGTCAACCAAAAGCTATCAGGAGTTCTCCTATAGGTGGAGAAAAAAAGAGGCAAGGGTGAGACCACCCATGACTGAGAAAGGAATCGTTGAAGTGTTCATGCGCGTGCAAGAGCCAGAGTATTACGATAGAATCATGTTGCTCGTTGGAGCAAAGTTTACCGAGATAGTCAAGATTGGTGAGACTATCGAAGACGGTTTATAATCAGGAAAGATAGACTGTGTAGCCCATCCCCTGGATCTTACGGGTTGTTGAAAAATAAAAGAGAAAAAGTCGCTACAGTTTCATACGGGGGAAGGAAAAACCCTAGAAGCTTATCATATTCCCAAGGTAATTTCCGGCTTTCCTCAAACTCCTACCAATCTTGTTATACGCCATCTAGTCATCCCAATAATCAGAATGCTACCTCCATTTCTCCAAACGCCAAAGCTCCACTATACCAAATTTGAATGAATTGTTAGACCTGGTAAAATATCAAAATGAATATTAAAACTATCGGACCAAAATTTTGTGTCAATAACTTGCCCCTTTGTTTGATTAGGATCGATGAACGAGATCCTAGTCAAACAAAGTTGACGAACCCAAATTTGGTTTAATAAACATTAAAAAAAAGTAATTGAGACGTTGGTAGAGCTTTTGACTAAGACTCCACGTCTGTCGTCTGGGCTAAAAATAATAAACAAATGAAAAACATTTATTGAAAACTGAGAATGTTCACATACCTTCGATATTACATGCAAAATTTCACAATGAAGGTGTTGTACCTTTTTGAAAGAAGGATGATGCGAATAAAATGTCAGTTTGAATGAAGCGATAACCCAACGTGTCTCTTTGAAAGGCGGACGACCCAACTTGAACTCAACAAGCCACTTCGAAAAAGGTGACAACCCAACTTCTCTCTTTGAAAGGCAGAGGATCCAACTTGAACTTAACATGTCTTTCTAAGGGAGATGACGACCCAATATCGTCTCTTTGAAAGGCGTACGACCCAATTTGATCATAATATGTCATTTGAAGATGGATGAAAATCCAATCTTGAATTTAACGTGTCATTTGAAGGGAGATGATAATCCAATATTGAACTTAGAGTGTTACTTGAAAGGAGATAACAACCCAATCTTGAACTTAATTTGTCACTTGAAGGATGTGACGACCCAACATGTCTCTTGGAAAGGCGGACGACCCAATTTGAACTCAACGTCTCATTTGAAGCGAGATGACAACCCAATCTTGAACTTAATGTGTCATTTGAAGGGAGATGAAAACCCAACATGTCTCTTTGAAAGGTAGACGAACCAACTTGAACATAACATGTCATTTGAAGGGAGATAAAAAACCAACATGTCTCTTTGAAAGGCGGACGACCCAACTTGAACTTAACATATCACTTGAACGGAGGTGAAAAACCAATCTTGAACTTAGTGTGTCATTTGAAGGGAGATAACAACCCAACATGTCTATATTAAAGGCAGACGACCGAACTTGAACATGTCATTTGAAGAGAGTTGACTGCCCAACGTGTCTCTTTGTTAGGCGGACGACCCAACTTGAACTTAAAATGCCACTTTGAACGAGTGACAACCCAACTTTTCTCTTTGAAAAGCTGATGACCCAACTTGAACTTAACATGTCATTTGAAGGGATATAACGATCCAATCTTGTCTCTTTGAAAGGTAGACAAGCAAGTTTGAACTCAACGTGTCAACTGAAGGGAGATGACAACCGAATCTTGAACTTAATGTGTCATTTGAAGGGACATGATAACCCAACATGTCTCTTTGAAAAGAGGGCCTCCCAAATTGAACTTATCATGTCATTTGAAGGTAGATGACAACCCAACATGTCTCTTTAAAAGGAAGACGACCCAATTGTAACATGTCATTTGAAGGGAGATGACAACCGAACGTGTCTCTTTGAAAGGTGGACGACCCAACTGGAACTTAACATGAATGTCGTATCACAAACTCTACTATATAAATGATAGTAGCTTATATAATATAAATTATGCAAACATGACCATATGGACAAGGTACTAACCAATGCAATGATTAAACTTAATAACATTATGAATTGAATAACATGTCAATTTAAAATGGAATAACACAATAAACAGTGTCATATTTAATGGCATGACAAACAAATTTGAAAAGAATTAATTTATTTAAGATAATAAATTAATTTCTAACAAATATCATTTTGCAAGGTCTGACGACCTAAAAAAAGTCATTTTGAATGGTATGACTATCCAAATTCAAGAATATATCATTTTGAAGGGTATAACAATCCAAAAAAAATGTTAGACGACCCGCAAAAATGTCATTTTGAAGGATATGATGATCCAAAAATAAAAGACGTCATTTTAAAGGGTATGAATACAAAAATAAAAAGATGTCAGTTTGAAACGTATGACTATCAAAAAATAAAAAGATGTCATTTTGAAGGATATGACTATCGAAAAATAAAAAGATGTCATTTTGGAAGGTATGACTTCCAAAAATGCAATTTCAACTTTGAAACGGTCCACAAAGTTATTTGGACGAATATAAAAAATGAAACGGTCCACAAAGTTGGTATGGACAAAATATCAACAATGAAACGCTACACATTGTTGGTATGGACAAACATGAGGCATGAATATAAAATGATATCAATTTCAAAGATGTGACGAACTAAAATAAAAAGATGTCATTTTGAAGGGTATGATACCGAAAATTCAATTTGAACTTTGAATTGGTCCACAAATTTGTTTGGACAAATATCAACAATGAAACCGTCCACAAAATTGTTTGGACAAACATGGGGAATAAGTATAAAATGATGTCAATTTGAAAGGTATGATGATCCAAAATAAAATGATGTCATTTTGAAGGGTATCACTACCGAAAATGCAATTTCAACTTTTAAATGGTCCACAAACTTAATTGGAAAAATATAAACAATGAAACAGTCCACAAATTTGTTTTGAAAAAAATGTGAAAAGTGGATTTTCATTTTTATTTTATGAACAATGAAACATATTTTAACTTGGTTAGCACAAACAAAAGTACTATACAAAAATATCTCGCAATTCTAATTCTTTACTAAGATTGATTTCTAGGTAATTCCTATAGATTCAAGTGGTACCTCAAATGTACTTAAGTAACGAAAGAATTTGTTCATCTTCCTTCACACAAAGTCTTTGAACTAGACCTATCATCATATTTCAAGTGCCCTCAGAAGAAATAAATTTTCAATTTGCGCACATTTTAAGTGTTTTGCATTGGGAGCATCTGAAAACACACTCACACTAGAAAAATGTTTTACGCATGCAATTGTGGTACCATATGTATGACCTTAATGTAATTCTCCACTAATGTGAGAACATTTGAATTGAAATCATGTAGGGCTTGTTAATAGTTATTAATGTAATCTTAGGGATAAAAATGATTAATTCCCTTCTTGAGAATTGCGACTAAATAGATGCTTTCAACATTTATTACGCTTTTAGCGTTTGATTCTATTTGTTGTCCCTTCCTTATGCACTCTGGACTCCTTTGGAACTTTGTTTGTCTGAGTTTTTCACTTTTGAATTTTCTTCTTTTCGTTTGGAGTGTTTATTTTCTTTTCTTCAAATTCTGCTTGCTAAAACTTGTGGGGAATTTTGACCACTTTCTTTTTTTTCCATTATTTTGAAGTCACTTTTATTTTCTTGACATTCAGGGACTTTGATAACTTTCGTACTTGACAAAAACTGAACTTTGAATCTTTATTTATTACTTGCTGACTTCAGTGCGCTCAAGAAAATCAGGCAAAAAGATAGATAGTGCGTAAAAGCATTTAGAAAGGGTATAGGCGAAGATGTGGTTGTCCAAAGAAAAGGCTTAAGGCTCAAAGTAGGACAAACTAAGGGTATATATCATTTGATAGGCTTTGAAAGACCCAAACGGGTCAAAGAAGGCCTACAATTATTTTTCAAATCAAACATTACTGAGAATTTTGCCTCAATAACATTTAGGCCAAGTTCTAGATCAGCAATGCAAAACAATTGAATTTAATTCAAAACTCACCACACAATGAACATGAAACAATAAATCTGGTTTTGTTCTAATCTTGAATGTATACAAGATAATTTTACAAGTGTGACAAAAGTATGAATGAAAGGTACAAAAAAGAATCTATGGTTTAACAAGAAGTCAATCTTCTTTACGGTACAAATTATTTTCACATGCACACTTGAACTTTGTTGACACTAACAAATTCAAAAAATAATTTCAAAAATATAAATATTAAAAGAATAAAAAATAAGATCTTTCGAATAAAAAATATTGAACTCAATAAGGGCTGCCTACGTTTGTCATTAATGAGAATCAGGTTTGCGTAGTTCTTCTAGAAATGACTTAAAATCTATAAACAATAAATGAATTTTTGAAAGGAAAAATAATGAAAATAAATAACCAATGAGCCACATTGAAAGGCGGGCAATCTTAATTGAACAAAAAATATTTTTTATTAATCAAAGAAAATTGAACAAGAACGAAGAAATCAGTGAACCACATTAAAGGGCTGACCACCTAAATTTAACAAACGTAACAAAAAAAGAAATTAAAGATTTACGTTGAAGAGCGGACTACCAAAACATAACAAAAACAAAACAAAAAAAATTATTAATCAAAGAAAAAATGGAAAAAGTATAAAAAAAAAATGAATGAGTCACATTGGAGAGCAGACAACCCAACATAAAAAGTGTCAATTAAAATAACATTTCCAATGGAATATAATAAAAATCAAAGATATACAGTGAATGTGACATGATGTACAAAAATTAATGCAAAATATACATACCAACTCGGAGTGAAGCCTAATAAATTCTAGAAATCTCTGTACCAAGTTGGTTAATTTTTTGAGGGCCTTCCTTAAAAATTTTGCCCCTGTTTCATCTTCAACGACCTCCGATATTTAATCATGTACTATCTCCTTTGTAAAAATTTGGAGACCTCCTCAAAATATTTTGCCGCAGTTTCCGTTTTCAAATTTTGGAAAGCTTACAGGGAAGATGACTGATATGGCACCTACATATCCCATAGAAAAAGGAATCAAGTCAAACGTAGTTCCAACAGATTGTAACTCGAATAGGGAATGGACTGAGATTACGATTGTTCTAAAACTAGCTGACCAAGAAAGATTTTGAATGACTGGGAACCCAAGTGGACAACTTAGGTTGGAAGTCGTGACAACTTTTCGACGCACGACGAACCAATAAATTGTCCATTATTTTGAAAAAGGATTGAGTATAGAAAAGTCCGGCCTACGAATCCCAAAACCTTTTTTTAATATGCTATACCTTACAATGCTGGAAAAAAAGCCATGAATGCAATGAAAATATACAATAAAATGAATGAATATATAGTAGAATATGCAAATAATCAACAAAATATACAAGATATAATTAACAACATAATAAAAGAATGATATCCAAATTTTAAATAATTAACCCACAATGCTTACAACCTTTATATCCCATCATAGTCGTCATTCTGTTGACATCATTTGAATTAGAAGCAATGTAAAGGTGAATAAATTAAAAAAAAGAATTTACGCAAAATAATTTTTAAGAACGTGTAAAGGAGGGGTGGGGTAAAATGAGTTTAAAGAGATTAAAGGAAAAAAGGAGTCACCACCCAATATTTAGGAAAACTAGGAAACCAATTAATAAATTAATTTGAAAAATAGTCTACATTTTAGATAAGGGGTTCAAATTATTCCAAAGGAATAGGTATCCTTATGAATGCACAAATGTGGTTCTCGACTAAGTTCATTTTTTTCAAATTTAGGAGGAAAATAAAATTAAGTATAAATATAATACACATGCAATATACACAGTAAAAATAAAATAATAATATCGGTCTAAGGTTTGCCTAACATCGATATACAAAATAATGAATTGAAAAATATAATTTTATATCCTTACGAATAATTTCAAGGAAGCAAGTCTTGGGTACCTATAAACACACTTAGTGAAATTTTTAGTAATAAATAAATATGAATAAAATTTAATATATGAAATAATAACATAAAAATAAAAACTCGTCTTATTAACATTGGAGGCCTTGTAAATCGGCGGTAATTTCTTTATCAGTCAATTTCAACATAAAAAATATGTAGACTTCAACTAAAATTCCATCTTAATAAAATGGGGAGGCCTCCAAAACCGATGGAGAGATTTTCTCATTGGTCATTTCAATAATTTTAACAAACAAGTTATATAAAATTAAACTAAAAATTTCCGCCATTTAATATTGGGTAGGCCTCCAAAACAGACGGAGTGTTTGGTCATTGGCCAATTCTAATAACTAAAATATATAAACTTAAATTAAATTTCCGTATTTTAAAATGGAAAGGCCTCTAAAATCTACGGAGAGTTTTTTCATTTAACAAATTTAACAAATATATAATATGAACTCAAAAATAAATTTTTTACTAAAAAAAAAAGAAGTGCGCAGTAAGCAATGACAAATAATAAGTGTGAATTGTGAATTGGTGATCTTCTTTGTTTTAGAAACAAAGAAAGAAACATAAATAAATAATAGTAATTAAACGAACATGAAAAGTAACCAAACTAAACAATTCATTAGTACAATTAAGAACATTTAATATAAGTTCACTAGTAATATTGAAATTTAAATAAACGAAGATGATAAAATAACAAATAAATACAACAACTAATGAATGGTTAAAATAGAGATTTTAATAACATAAACAAATAATGAATAAACATAGCAAAAACATAACTCCCATAGTGTTATAGTGGTTGAAAATTCAAATTAAGTAATAATAATTAATTTTAAAAAAAGCAACATTAACTAATAATAAGGTATAGCCGCAACAAATAAAATTTATCTATTAATTATAAAAATTAATGATAATGCCAAAATAATATTAACCAAGTAACAATAGTGAATAGTTAAATAAACTAATGAACTCAAAATGAAGTGGAACAACGATATAACTGTGAATCAACATTACCAAAACGACATTCCAAATGACATGATTAATGGCAAAATATTTTTTAACAAAAGATAAATAAAAATAACAATATTAAAGAAGAACACATAATCAACTACAAATAGATAATATTGTTGGGTTTTATTTGCCCTGATTTCTTACCATAAATAGGTTTTCCTTTTAGGAAAATGTTTTGAATTGACTATTCTTTTTTTGGTAGAAAAAGATTTAGGACTCTATAAATAGAGGCATGTTCCTTCTAACTTAATTAGCATTCACAATGTAGTTTTAAGGGCTTTGAGAGTTTTGGTTAGAGGGAGAATTTGTGAACCTCTCATGTATTCCGAGTGAATTGATGAGGTTGTTTCCCTCTGTATTTTGTACTCTCATGTTTATAGTTGATTGCTCATCTCCTTTGTGGACGTAGGTCGATTGACCGAACCACGTTAAATCTTTGTGTCTTTTGGTATATTTCTCGTTGTCTTCTTACTCGTGGTCTTTCGAGGTTTGCTTTGCTAGCTTCCGCGTTTACACCTGCTTATTTTCCGGTCCTAACACGTGGTATCAGAGCCAGATTCAATGATGTAGTCAGGTGTAGTGGTTCGATAATCGATGATTGAACCAAGTTAGAAAGAGGTGTTCATCTTGACGGGTGTAGTTCTAGCCGCAACCTTTTTGACAGTAATGAAGATTTTGTTGGAGAAATTGTTTCAGAGAGATTCTCTGTGTTGAGACATAAATTTTGAAAAGGAGATTATGGAGAGGAGAAGCAAGTTGTTGAAGATTAAGTAAAGAAGGTGAACAAATTTATTTTGTCAGAAATTCAGGCCAAGGGGGAGATTTGTTGGGTTTTATTTTCCCTGATTTCTTACCATAAATAGGTTTTACTTTTAGGAAAAGGTTTTGAATTGACTATTCTTTTTTTGGTAGGAAAATATTTAGGACTCTATAAATAGAGGCATGTTCCTTCTAACTTAATTAGCATTCACAATGTAGTTTTAAGGGCTTTGAGAGTTTTGGTTAGAGGGAGAATTTGTGAACCTCTCATGTATTCTGAGTGAATTGGTTGAGGTTGTTTCCCTCTGTATTTTGTACTCTCATGTTTATAGTGGATTGCTCATCTCCTTTTTGAACGTAGGTCGATTGACCGAACCACGTTAAATCTTTGTGTCTTTTGGTATATTTCTCGTTGTCTTCTTACTCGTGAAAATGCAATTTGAACTTTGAAACAGTCCACAATGTTTTTTGAACAAATATCAACTATGAAACAGTCCACAACGTTGTTTTGACAAATATGGAGCATAAAAATAAAATGATGTCAACGTGAAAGGTATGACTACCCAAAATAAAAAAATGTCGTTTTAAGGGGTATGACTATCAAAAATGCAATTTAAACTTTGAAACGTTCCACAAAATTATTTGGAAAAATATCAACAATGAAACAATACACAAAGTTGTTTGGACAAAAATCGAAAAAGTGGATTATCATTTTTATCTTTTGAACAATGAAACATATGATATCTTGGTTAGCACCAACAAAAGTATTGTACAAAAGTTTCTTGCAATTCTAATTCTTTACTGTAATTGATTTCGAGGTAATTCCTATAGATTCATGTGGTACCTCAAATATTCTTAAGTAACCAAAAAAATTGTTCATCTTGCTTCAGGTAAAGGCATTGAACTAGACCTCTCATCATATTTCAATTGCCCTCACAAGAAAGAAATTTTCAATTTTCACTTATTTAAAGTGTTTTGATTTGGGAGCATCTAAAAAAACACACTTATACGCAAAAAAATGTGCAACGGATGCAATTGTGATACCATATGCTTGACCTTAATGTAAATCTCCACTAATGTGAGAAAATTAGAATTGAAATCATGTAGGGCTTGTTAATTGCTTGTAATGTAGGCTTAGGAACGGGTAAGATACTCATTTGGGATAAAAGGGACTTATTCCCTTCTTTAGCATTGCAACTAAATAGATGCTTTAACGATTTATTACGCTTTCAGCGTTTGATTCTCTTTGTTGTCCCTTCCTTATGCATTGTTGACTTCTTTGGAACTTTGTATGTCTGAGTTTTTGCCTTTTGAATTTTCTTCTTTTTGTTTGGATTGTTTATTTTGTTTTCTTCAAATTCTGCTTGCTAAAACATGTGGGGAATTTTGAATACTTCTTTTTTTTTCTTTCTTTTAAAGTCATTTTTGTTTTCTTGACATTTCGGTATTTTAATAACTTTTGTCTTTGACAAAAATGAACTTTGAATCATCGCTTATAACTTGCATGTCTTCTGTGCGCCCAAGAAAATAAGGCAAAAAGAGGGATAGTTCATAAAAGCACTTAGAAAGGGTATAGTCTAAGATGTGGTTGTCCAAAGTAAAGACTTAAGCCTCAAAATGGGACACACTAAGGGTATATATTATTTGGCAGGCTTTGAAAGGCTCAAATGGGTCAAACAAGGCGTACATCATTTTTCAAATCAATCAAATAATGAATAAACAGAGCAAAACATAACCCCATAGTGTTATAGTGGTTGGAAAATTCAAATAAATTAATAATAATTAATTTTATAAAAAGCAACATTAACTAATAACAAGGTATAGGCAACAATAAATAAAATTTATCTCTTAATTATAACAAATACCGATAATACCAAAATAATATCAACCAAGGAACAATGGTGAATAGTCCCACTAACTAATGAAGTCAAAATAGAGTGGAACAACGATATAACTGTAAATAAACATATCCAAAACGACATTCCAAATGACATGATTAATGGCAATATAATTATTATCAAAACATAAATACAAATAACAATAATAAAGAAGACAACATAATCAACTACAAATAGATAATATAGGGTTCATTAGACCAAGTTTCTACACAAAATCAATTGCAATTATAGGAAGACAACACCACGAAAATCCTTAAATAAGATTAGAAACTTCTGTATCGTAATTAAAAACTACGCTAAAATGAATTAAATCAAAGCATTATGCCAACATATTTTGATATGAAACAATATTAACACATAAAAATAAATGGACCCAAATATGTAAACAAAAAAAACGAAGGAAAGAGAATAAGAAGTGCAGAGGAACACCTTGGTAAAAGAGGATGACGAAGAGCTTGCTCAATCTCGATTTCGCTGGAGTTATTTATTTTATGTCGATAAGCCTAAAATATTGCTGCCATTTTTTGGAGCAAATATCCTGATGGTTCATTCAAATGCAAACAAAATTGGATAGAAAATGTAAAGGGGAAAGAGGATGGGGTTTGTGGTGCATCTGGAAAGGGAAAAAAATGGAAGAATGAAGGTTGGTTTGGTGGTTTATGGTCGGGTTTTTGGACTGTGTTGTTGATCGATTTTGGGTGGTTGTTGGTTAAGGTTTGGGTATGGTTTAGGAGTGGGTTGTGGTGGTTATTTCAGTTGTGTTTTGTATGCTAAAATGGGGAAGAAGATGACTGGTTTCAGTTAGAGCTTGGTCGGAAAAGTGGGAAAAAGAAGACCTGGCAGCGTCTGGAGAGAGCTGCTGGCAGCAGCTATGAACAAGATGACAGTTTGGTCTACTGACTGTTTTCGTGTGGTTCTTTGCTGGAAAAATGTTAAAACAAAACGGGGTTTTGGGGCTTGCCAAAAAAGTCTCCGGTGAGGGTGGTGGCCCAAAAATAAAAGCATCAAAGAATTTCTTAAAACATTAATCTAATAATTATCCCCTAAATCTTTATCCACCACTTAAAAACCCAATGGACCAACTCTTTTATATATAGGGAGTTGAAAACTATGGGCCAAAGTTATGGTCTTGAAGTGTGGCCCAAAAATTGTCGATTGATAAAATATATGTGTATGTAAATTGTATTCGAATTTGAATGAATTTTTAGACTGCGCAAAATATCAAAATGAATATTAACAATGTAACAAAGAACATAAAATTAATATAAAAAATGTAATACACGTAATTAATTACATGTAAAAATGTAATGTAACAGAAATATTAATTTTATAAAATAATGAAAAAATATTTGAACGTCTGGCTATGACAAAATGATTTAAACATAACAATCGATAAAAACCCCTAATACTTTGAGAAAGATGATGATTATCAACAAATTTCATCAAAGTGACAAAAACATGTATTTTGAATTATTTAAAATACAATACTCAAAATGTATTAATTTTAAAACTATCGGACCAAAATTTTGTGTCAACAACTTGCCTCTTTGTTTGATTAGGATCGATGAACGAGATCCTAGTAAAACAAAATTGACGAATCCAAATTTGGTTTAATAAACATTGAACAAAATAATTGAGACGCTAGTAGAGCTTTTGAGCAAGACTCCACGTCTGTCGACGAGGCTAAAAATAATAAACAAAAGAAAAACATTAATTGTAAACTTAGAATGTTCACATACCTTCGATATTACTTGCAAAATTTCACAATGAAGGTGTTGTACCTTTTCGAAAGAATGATGATGAGAATAACATGTCACTTTGAACGAAGCGACAACCCAACTTGTCTCTTTGAAAGGCGGACTACCCAACTTGAACTTAACATGCCACTTCGAACAAGGTGACAACCCAACTTGTCTCATTGAAAGGCAGGCGATGCAACTTGAACTTAACATGTCATTTGAAGGGAAATGATGACCCAATATTATCTCTTTGGAAGGCGTACGACCCAATTTGATCATAATATGTCAATTAAAGATGGATGAAAACCCAATCTTGAACTTAACGTGTCATTTAAAGGGAGATGACAACCCGATATTGAACTTAAAGTGTTACTTGAAGGGAGATAACAACCCAATCTTGAACTTAAAGTGTCACTTGAAGGATGTGACGACCCAACATGTCTCTTTGAAAGGCAGACGACCCAATTTGAACTCAACATGTCATTTGAAGAGAGATGACAACCCAATCTTGAATTTAATGTGTCATTTGAAGGGAGATGAAAACCAAACATGTCTCTTTGAAAGGTAGAGGAACCAACTTAAACTTAACATGTCATTTGAAGGGAGATAAAAAACCAACATGTCTCTTTGAAAGGCGGACAACCCAACCTGAACTTAACATATCAATTAAATGGAGGTGACAACCCAATCTTGAACATAGTGTGTCATTTGACGGGAGATGGCAACCCAACATGTCTATTTGAAAGGCGGACGACCCAACTTGAACATTTCATTTGAAGGGAGATGACTAACCAACGTGTCTCTTTGTAAGGGGGATGACCCAACTTGAACTTAAAATCCCACTTTGAACGAGGTGACAACCCTACTTTTCTCTTTGAAAAGCGGATGACGCAACTTGAACTTAACATGTCATTTGAAGGGATATGACGACCCAATCTTGTCTCTTTGAAAGGTGGACAAGCCAATTTGAACTCAACGTGTTAACTGAAGGAAGATGACAACCGAATCTTGAACTTAATGTGTCATTTGAAAGGAGATGATAACCTAACATGTCTCCTTGAAAGGAGGACATCCCAACTTGAACTTATAATGTCATTTGAATGTAGATGACAACCCAACATGTCTCTTTGCAAGAAAGACGACCCAACTTGAACATGTCATTTGAAGGGAGATGACAACCGAACGTGTCTCTTTCAAAGGAGGACGACCCAACTTGAACTTAACATGAATGTCCTATGACAAAATCTACCATATAAATGATAGTAGCTAATATAATATAAACTATGCAAACATGACCATATGGACAAGGTATTAACCAATGCAACGATTCAAACTTAATAACATCATATTTAATGGTATGACAAACCAATTTGAAAAGAATTAATTTATTTAAGATAATAAATTAATTTCTAAAAGATATCATTTTGAAAGGTATGACGACCTAAAAAAAGTCATTTTGAAGGGTATGACTATCCAAATTTAAGAAAATATCATTTTGAAGGGTATAACGACCCAAAAAAAAGTTAGACGACCCGCAAAAATGTCATTTTGAAGGATATGACGATCCAAAAATAAAAGACGTCATTTTAAAGGGTATAACTACAAAAATTAAAAAGATGTCAGTTTGAAACATAGGACTATCCAAAAATAAAAAGATGTCATTTTGAAGGGTATGCCTACTGAAAATAAAAAGATGTCATTTTAGAGGGTATGACTACCAAAAATGCAATTTCAACTTTGAAACGGTCCACAAAGTTATTTAGATGAATATCAATAATGGAACGGTCCACAAAATTTGTATGGACAAAATATCAAAAATGAAACAGTACAAATTGTTGGTATGGACAAACATGGGGCATGAATATAAAATGATATCAATTTCAAAGGTGTGACGACCCAAAATAAAAAGATATCATTTTGAAGGGTATGATACCGAAAATGCAATTTGAACTTTGAAACGGCCCACAAAGTTGTTTGGACAAATATCAACAATGAAACCGTCCACAAAATTGTTTGAACAAACATGGGGCATAAATATAAAATGATGTCAATTTGAAAGGTATGATGACCCAAAATAAAAAGATGTCATTTTGAAGGGTATCACTACCGAAAATGCAATTTCAACTTTGAAATGGTCCACAAAGTTATTTGGACAAATATCAACAATGAAACAGTCCACAAAGATGTTTGGAAAAAAAATGTGTAAAGTGGATTTTCATTTTTATTTTATAAAACAATGAAACATATATTAAGTTGGCTAGCACCAACAAAAGTATTATACAAAAATTTCTCCCAATTCTAATTCTTTGTTAAGATTGATTTCTAGGTAATTACTATAGATTCAAGTGGTACCTCAAATGTACTTAAGTAACGACAAAATTTGTTCATCTTGCTTCAAACAAAGTCTTTGAACTAGACCTACCTATCATCAAATTTTAAGTGCCCTCAGATGAAATAAATTTTAAATTTGCACACATTTAAAGTGTTTTGATTTGGGAGCATCTGAAAACGCACTCACACTCAGAAAATTATTTAACGCATGCAATTGTGATATTATATGCTTTACCTTAATTTAAATCTCCACTAATATGAGAACATTTGAATTTAAATCATGTAGGGCTTGTTAATAGTTATTAACGTAGGCTTAGGGACGGGTAGGATAGTCATTTGGGATAAAAAGGGACTTATTCCCTTCTTGAGAATTGCACTTAAATATATTCTTTCAACATTTATTACGCTTTTAGCGTTTGATTCACTTTGTTGTCCCTTCCTTTTGCACTTTTGACTCCTTTGGAACTTTCTTTGTCTGAATTTTTCCCTTTTGAATTTTCTCCTTTTTGTTTGGAGTGTTTATCTTCTTTTCTTGAAATTCTGCTTGCAAAAACTTGTGGGGAAATTTGAACACTTCCTTTTTTTTTCATTATTTTGAAATCCTTTTTATTTTCTTGACATTCAGGGACTTGGATAACTTTTGTATTTGACAAAAACTGAACTTTGAATCTTCACTTATAACTTGCATGCCTTCAACGCGCTCAAGAAAATCAGGCAAAAAGTGAGATAGTGCATAAAAGCACCTAGAAAGGGCATAGGCTAAGATGTGGTTGTCCAAAGAAAAGGCTTAAAGCTCAAAGTAGGACACACTAAGGGTATATATTTTTTTTTCGGCTTTGAAAGGGCCAAACGGGTCAAAGAAAGCCTATAATCATTTTTTAAATCAAATATTACTCAGAATTTCGACTCAATAGCATTTATGACAAGTTCTAGATCAACAATGTTAAACAATTGAATTTAATTCAAAACTCTCCAGACAATGCACATGAAACAATAAATCTTGCTTTTTTTCTAATCTTGAATGTATACAAGATAATTTTACAAGTGTGACAAAAGTATGAATGAAAGGTACAAAAAAGAATCTATGATTTAACAAGAAGTCAATCTTCTTTACTGTACAAATTATTTTCACATGCACTCTTGAACTGTGTAGACACTAACAAAGTCAAAAAATAATTTCAAAAATATAAATATTAAAAAAATAAAAAATAAGATCTTTTGAATAAAAAATACTTAACTCAATAAGGGCTGCCTACGTTTGTCATTGATGAGAATCATGTTTGTGTAGTTCTTCCAGAAATAACTTAAAATCTATAAACAACAAAAGAATTTTTGAAAGGAAAAATAATAAAAATAAATAACCAATGAGCCCATTGAAAGGCGGGCAACCTAAATTGAACAAAAAATATTTTTTGTTAATCAAAGAAAACTGAACAAGAACGAAGAAATCAGTGAATCACATTGAAGGGCGGACCACCTAAATTTAATCAAAGTAACAAAAAAAGAAATTAAAGAGTCACGTTAAAGATCGGACAACCCAAACTTAACAAAAACAAAACCAAAAAATTATCAATTAAAGAAAAAATGGCAAAAGTAAAAAAAAAATGAATGAGTCACATTGGAGGGCGGACACCCAACTTAAAAAGTGTCAATTAAAATAACATTTTTAAAGGAATATAATAAAAAATCAAAGATATACAATGAATGTGACATCATGTACAAAAATTAATTCAAAATATACATACCAACTCGTAGTGAAGCCTCATAAATTCTGAAAGTCTATGTACCAACTTTGTTAAATTTTTGAGGGAATTCCTGAAAAATTTTGTCCCTTTTTCAACTTCAACAACCTCAGATATTTAATCTTGTACTGTCTCTTTGTAAATTTTTTGGAGACCTCCTAAAAAAAAATTTCCCCGGTTTCCGTTTTAAAATTTTGGAAAGCCTACAGGGTAGATGACCGATATGGCACCTACGTATCCCATAGAAAAAGGAATCAAGTCAA